TGTTTATGTGCAATACCATTCATAGGCACCAGGGGCTTAACAAAAACCAGGGAGAATGGGTGGAGTTTCTGGTTCCTGATCAACACATGACAACTCTGCTTTAAACCCATCACCAACGCCCTCTGGTGTTCTTCAGATTAGCCGCAGATTAGCTACAGAAAACATGACATGTTTCTTTCAACCACGTCGCTCCACAAACACCACGATCTACGCATGAACCCGTCAACCATTCTGACCGCACACCACCGCTGACTTGTCGAACCGCACTCACGTACTTTTCTGCCACTCCCAACACTGTAACCGTGCCTTTAACAGACACCAATGAAAGGCCTGGATCGCGCAAAGAATAAATCGGTGTCATATTTGCGTTACAATAATTTTACCCTAATTTTATTTTATTTTTTTATATTTATCATATCTGTGCATTTGTTGAAACCGATAGCGTTATCTTCCAGTTGTAAAAGCTTTGGTTTCCCTCTTAAATCAAGGTTATGTTTTGATGTCAAACTGCTATAAATCACATCCTTTATGAGAGAATAAAAAATAAAAAATAAAAATAAATAAATAAAAAAGCCAATCCAATCAGAGCACCCCCCAGTGGAGGTGACACATTAGTGAGAACAAGTTGTTTTGGAAACAGCTCATTATACCAAACAAACCAGTTTCCCTTATAAGGTCATTAGGCCTAAGTAATGCATTAATTACAAATCTAAAGCCTTGGAATATAAATATTAATGCCTTGATATATTAGGATTAATTCATAATTTAAGGCATCGTGGGAGTGTGGCAGCGCCGGGTAAAATTGGTTTCCCCTCATTAATATGCAAAATAATGCAGCAAGGTGCTGTAAAAATCTAATCAGATCGTCTCTGTGGAGCCGCGGTGGGAAGTTTCACCTCAGACGCCGTCGTCGTCGTCGTCGGTGTGTGAGGAGTTCATGAAAATGCATGGCCACTCACACATATATGACATCACGGTGGCAGAGACAAACAAACAAACATGCTGGAATGAGGGCGATCCGTCGTGTCAGTTGTTTCGCAGCATTTCAACGGTCAGTAATCGATGACGGTTTCATTCAGAGCCACGGACGCCGGGGGAAACGGAGAGGCATGAATTACCTCCACGCTGCACAATCACTTCCAGCACAAATGAAATGGAATGGAGCAGACACTTAAGAATGCTATATCTTTCTGGGGGGGGGGGGGCGGGGGGGGGGCAAATTAAGTATAAAAAAAACACTTG